CTAGAAACAGTTTAAAGGGGTTGGCTTGGTTTTTGGTTAAAGATCAGAGTGTAAACAAGGCTTATGTCTCAAAGTTTATGGCCCAGATGTCTTCCTTCTGTCCCTATAAACAGAGCCAGTCTTCATGCTTTTGGTCCTAAACGGAGCAATGCAAACCATTAAGACTCTAAGGAAACACTGTTCAAAGCACATGCCTCAACTTCCCCCAGAAAGCTGAGTGCTGGAAGATCTGTATCTGACCTCCCCTGCCACCCAGGCTATTTAATGCAGTGTGGTTATGGCAGCAAAAAGGCTGGAAACAACCTAAAGTCCAGCCAAAGAAGGCTGGTTACCCACACCACGATGGATCTGTCACAGGAGACTCGGGGATAACTGCAGTTCTGTGGGCACTGCCATGAAACCCCAAGAGGTGAAAACAAGGTGCAGAGGGATGTGCACAGTGTGCTACCATTCGTGTAGAAGGAAAAAAGGCATGACTGTCTGCCGGTAAAAGCAGAATTCACTTCTGAAAGGAAACATGAGGTACTGGTTATCCTTGGGCGGAGAATGAGGCCTGTGACCAGGGCGAGAACATGTACATTTCATCACCTATATTTGTAATGTGAGAACTTGCATCATATAAAAAAAAAGAGAGAGAAAGGAAAGTTAAAGTGAGCAGTTGATAACATCAGATTGACTTGTCCTCTGAGGGAGATCGGAAGGATTAGAAAAAATTTTATCATTTTATACCTGAGAAAGTTGTAGATACATAAGATGGTCTCGCTCTACATACTGGTTCCTAATTTGTGAGCGTCAGAGATTGGGGCCGGAAGGGTGGTAAATGACTCACAATAAGCACTAGATAAAGGTTTAGTTTTTGAATGAATGAGTGAATGAATGAACAAATAAATATTTCTTGGCTTGGATGGGGACGGAGTGGGAGAAGTAACTCCTATTTTCCATCAGAGGAAGCTTCTGCCAAGGGCACTGCTACCATTTCTACCTGTGGATAGGGACTCACCAGCAAGACCATCAGGGCAATGTGTTTTTATTCTTCAGAGATATTGGGAAAGCAAGAGACTCCTGAGAATGATACACGAAGGACCGCGAAGTATGAATGACGTTTAGAATCCTTTTAAAATAGCCCCTGGATAAAAGCCCAAAGCTTCTGCCTCCCGGAACTCCTGATAACTGAGAACTGAAGTTTAGGGAACAAAAGGATTCCAAATTAGTAAATAATAAAGGCCTTTCTTCTTTCAGTATACCCTTCACAGAAAGATTATGGAGGAAAAATAATATAGTTACGAAAAAACAAAACAATACTGTGAGTTGTGTGATTCAATGGAAGGCCGCGCCAGTAAGTACATCATTTGATTATTTTTAAATGACATTCTTTACTCTTTTTTTTTTTATGATAGCAATTCATGTTTCTTGTAGAAAAAAAATTAGAAAATACAGATATATTAGAGTAAAAAGTAAAATAAAATTTCCTATAATCCTACCACTCTGATTACAGCTAATATTTTTATGGATATTCTTCAGTTTCTTGTGTGTGTGTGTGTGAATGTAGTATAATTGGGATCATATTCTAATCTCCTTTCCCACTTAATATATTGTGAACATTTCCCCCAAGTCATTATTTATTCTCAAAAATATGTTTTTAAAGAGCCAAATCATTATTTAATCAATCTCTGTTCTAACAGTTCATTATAATAATAATAACAAAGCATTATGATGAAACTTCCTGTAAATAAATCTTTGTACTCATCTGCTTATTTTTTTAGAATAAATTTCAGAAGTGGAATAGTTGGAGCAAATTATACATTTTAAAACTTTCTGAGTTATATTACCTTTCAGAAAGATGGTATTAATTTATATTCCCATCAATACTGTATATTTGTCAGTACTGTATATTATATTTTTAGAAATCCTAGACCAAAATATAACCCAGTGTTTCTAAAAATTTTTTAATGTTTTGCTAGTGAATATGAACATTTAAAAAATATTTATCGATTTGAATTTCATCTTTCACGGCGTGCCTATTCATCCATTTCTGCATTTTGAATGTTAGTGTTTTATGTATTGATTTATAAAGGGTCTGAAGAATAAGATCAACCATTGTCACATTTGTTAAAAATATTTTCTCCACTTTGTCATTTGCCTTTTTGGTGATATATGATATGTCTAAGTCTTGCATATTTATTCAAATACATATTCATTCTTGCCTTTGGTTTCTTCCTATGCCTTAATATCTGAGCTTTCTCCTCTGAAATAATTCACCCATATTTTCTTTTAATTGTCTTTTGATTTCTGTTGTTTGTTTAGTTTTATGGGTTTGATAAAGTTAATTCATATACAATAGTCTCCCCTTATCCACGAGGGATATATTTCAAGACTCTCAATGGGTGCCTGAAACTCCAGATAGTACCAAACCCTATATATCAAAAGTTAGGCTGGGGAAATTAGTTAATTTGGGAGAAAAACGTAAAACTAAGGGTATACTTAAACCATCACTAAAATAAATATAAGAAGCTGTCCAATGGCAAAACAAAAACAATTTAGTAACAACTTTAATGTCCTTTATTCAAGAGAAAACAATGCATACATTGGGGGAGTACATTTATACTATGTTTTTTCCTCTACATACCTATAAGTTTTAACTTATAAATTAGGCACAGTAAGAGATTAATAACAATAACTAATAATAAAATGGAATAATTATAATAATATGCTATAATAAAAGTTATGTGACTGTGGTCTATCTATGTCAAAGTAGCTTATGGTGCTGTACGTACAGGAGGGCAACGCTGGATGAAGGGATGATTCACGTCCCGGACAAGATGGAGTGGGACTGGGCAGGAGGGCGTGAGATTTCACCACCTTACTCAGAACAGTGTGCAATTTAGAACTTACAAATTGCTTATTTCTGGGATTTTCCATTTAATGTTTTCAGATTGTGGGGAACAAACCGTGGAAAGTAAAACTGTGGATCAGGGAGAACTGCTGTGGAGGGGTCCACAAAATGGAGGTGGCCCCAACCAGGCACTTACAGGAAAACACCTAAGGTACACCGATCACAGTCCTGCTCCGCTTCACCTACCTCATCTCACCCTAGGAAAAGGACTTGCTAGCCTGATAAGGAAATCTCAATCTCCTGGGAAATCATGCCGTTTCTTTTAACATTCGAGTGAAACTCGCTCTTGCCCAGAATCTTTCTACAAAGTACTCCCTCCACTGCTCGTGAGGCGCTGCACTCCCCCAAGCTCAGGGATTGTTTTCCCTTGAATAAAAGACATTAAAGTCGTTATTAAATTGTTTTTGTTTTGCCATTGGACAGCTCCTTATATTTATTTTAGTGATGGTTTAAATATAGTCTTAGTTTTACGTTTTTCCCCCAAATTAACTCATTTTCCAAAATTAACTAGTCTAACTTTTGAAGAATTGTATCCTTTTCTCCACAAAAGTGATATGCCACATTTATCATACGGTTGATTTTTAAGTAGTTTATGTGTTTCTAAGCTTTCAGTTATTCCACTGATGCATATTCATCCCCTCTTGTATCAATACCACACTGTTTTAATGATAGCTTTGCAGTATGTTTTAAGATTTGGTAATATAGGTCTATCCCCCCATTTAAAAAATATCTTAGCTTTTCTCAGATATTTTTCCATTTGAGTTAGAAAAAGTTATGTCATCCTACTCTCACCCCCATCTACCCACAACCATGAGACTTTTATTAAAAGAATTAATTTGGGTGAAGTTGGTATTTTTACCTTGTGTTTCAAGTCTTTCTTATTTTTCAATTTTTATAATTTCTTCATTGAGTCTGCACTTTTTAGTAAGTTTATTCCTAGGTATTTTACGGTTTTCCAAGTGTTCATAATTTTTTTTTTTTTTTTTTACATTGAAACTGCTCTTTAAGCTCCAATTGAAGCTTACCAAAGCTGCCTTTAAAATTTTTTCAGGTGGTATTTACTTGCAGGAAACTAGTCAGAAACTAAAGGCTCTTCAGTAGCAGCTATTTATTGAGTATTCCTTTTTAACTTGGCATGGCGATTATCCCTTTACAAGAATTACCTTATTTAATAACAGATATCTCCAGCAGATAGGTGCAATGTTTATTCTCATTTTACACATGAGGGTATCCAGGCTTAGAGCGTCTGTGGAACTTGGCAAAAATTACCCAGTTGGTAGGTGGATTTGAAACAGGTCTGTGAATCTCCAGAAGTATCACAAAAAGCAATCATCCAAGAGAACAGAGCAATACTGTGCTTTCAGATGAGCAGATTCAAGGGAGCGGCTTTTCGAAAACAATCAAGTAAATTAAAAAAAGACACCGGACCCTCCAATAAGACAGGTTTTCCTCCAGTGTACGGCGGCATAGATCTGTACTTTGCAGTAGCACGATATCAGTTGATTTACTGAACCTCCTTTAGAATTAGAGACTCGTGGATAATCAAGGGCAGCTTTTCCGTAGCTTTCGTGGGAATTGTCCGTGGGAACCTGCCTCCCCAGGGCAGGTTCAAAAAAAGAAAGAAAAGAAAAAAAGAAAAAACAGGTGGAACCGACGTAAGGTTGGCTAGCGCAGCGTACGCGGGAGACAGAACTTTCTGGGGCATCCTACCCGCGCGTTTCACGCGTGGTGAGCGCAGGTGGCGCCGGGGTCCCTGCGCTCCTCACGCTCCCCGCGTAGGCCCGCAGGGTGCCCAGGAGGCCATCCGAAGTCTCCGCCAAGGTGAAGGGGAGGCTTTCTACCGAGGCGGGAGAGGAGGGCGGGCAGGAAGCGGAGCCAGCGCTGGCGAAAGAAAGACTCCAATTCCCAGCCCCCAGCCCCGCGGGGTGCGGGGGCTGGCAGCGCATGCGCGAGGCCCGGCCCCCAATTCCCCTAGCGAGGGAGGGAGGCCCCCGGCGGCCCGGAGACTGCGA